AGAACCTCAGAATTATTTTTTACCACTGATTTAGAACATGGTAGCTTTGCAGTAGACTGAAGACCCCCCCCCCCTTCTTGAATCCCTGCTGACTACTTGCACCATAGAGGAGCCCTGGAGCAAAAAGTCTCAAGGTTACTGATTCAGACCTTAAGACCCTTCTTCATCCTCTCCAAACACAGTCCCCTAGATCCCATCCTCTGGTGCCTCCATATCCTCACTTCCCCTTTTCCTTCCCCTCTCAAAATGCTCTCCTGGTCTTCAGTTTCCCTTGACTACTTAATTTGTTGGATCTCTGTCTTCTATACATGATGTTCAAGCCACTCCCACAACCTAATCCTAACAAAGACCAAACTGAGGAAGTAACATATAAACCTTGGTCTTGGTTAAAGATCCTCCCAGTTCCCACCAAAGTAAGGGAAATCTAGGAGTGCCTACGTGGCTCAGTCAGTTAAGTGTCTACCTTTGGCACAAGTCCTGATCCTGGAGTCCCAGGATCAAGCTCTGCTGGGGCTACCTACTCAGTGGGAAGACGGCTCCTTCCTCTGTCCCTTACTCTGCTACTGTTCTCTCTCTTTCACTCTCTCTCTCTCTCAAATAAATAAATAAAATCTTTAAAAATTTTAAAAAAGAAAGGGAAATCTATTGAACAGTTTAGGAGGTCTTGGGTGCTTACTTCTGAGACTCCCCAACTTATATAAACATATCCATTTATTTTTGGGACCCAGAGATGCCCTTCTTTGGTTTAGGAAAGCTAAATGAAAGATCTTGGAAGATTTTAAGGGATCTCAAGCTACTGATGAGCTAGTCAGATCATGAAAACACTAAGGAAAAACTGCTTGAAGCCATTCTGAGTTTTATCCTATTAATTGGTCATGTATTCAAAATTGTAAACAACTGAAGGATAAAATTGTGACAAATTATCATCACCAATTAGAAACTACTTTGAAAAAGCACTCAGGGCTTGAACTTAATTAGCAAACAACCTTTGCTCTACTACAGGCTTTTGGAATGAACTGAGTTGTGCTTCATAACACTATTAAAAGAAAGGAAGGAAGGAAGGAAGGGAGGGAGGGAGGGAGGAAGAAAGGAAGGAAAGAAGGAAGGAAGGAAGGAAGAAATTCTCCTGATAGAATGCTGAGATATTTGAATTTTAGACATTAGCCTAGCATGGTAAGAATACTATTTTTAAGAGTCTCACGCTCTACTGACTAAGCTAGCCGGGCGCCTAAGAATAGTATTTTTCAAAAGTAGAAAATATACAACCCAAGCTCATGGATTTACAGTTAAAACAATTAGAAAAATGTAGGCCCCCAAAATATAGGCCTCCATTGACCAGGATGTTTGCTGATATTATAAAGAAAAAGGCCATTGTGTTTGGAGATGGCCAGCCCTCAAAAGGAGGGAAAAGACCCACATTCCTTCTTCACAGGAGGAATACTAGCTCAGCTCTGAGGAAGTAGACCTTTCATGCCCTTAATTGTCTCTAAATTCACAAGGTTATATTATCCTCATGAGTCAAATGGCACCTACCACACTTCTCTTAATGATAGAGAACAAAAGGAAGGTTGATGGAGGAAGAAAGATCAGATAGATGGGTGAAGGGTATTAAGCAGGGCACTTTTTGGAACAAACACTGGGTGTCGTTTATAAGTGATGACTCACTGAATTCTCCAGAAACCAATATTGCACTGTTATTAAGTAAGTATAGTTTAAATTAAAAATTTTTTCTTCATAATTTGCCTCCCAGTCTCTCCATATCTTTATAGGATCTCTTAAGGGTCAACACAATTTCCTTCTTAGCCTAACTATCCCAAAAGTTTCATGAGATGGGATACTGAATTCATTGTGACCTTGAAGGATTCCCTTCACAAGTCCCCATATTCATCTCCCTTACACCTGTGTCCCTTAATGTCTTTGTCTGACCCCCTTAGTATTAGTACTCATCTTACTGAAAATTGGAACCAACCAGTGGACAGGATTTCTCCTTTTTGTGGGCAAGGAATTCTGATATCAGGCATTCATGGGATGTGGAAACCCATGATAGAACACCATAATAGGTAGAGAAAGATCCATTTATGTCACTCCCCAGCATTCCACAATATAATTTATAACAGGGGCTTGAGAGACCTGGCCAGTAATTCAGGAATTACTAAATAAGGGACTTCTGTTTCCTACTTATTGACCATTCAATGCTTTCATGTTGGCTGTTAAAAGACCTGAAATCTATTAATATGTCACCCTTCAAAATTCCTACCTACTCCAGCCTTCAATCCACCCATGTTAGACTTTTCCCTTCCCACACCAGCTCCTCCACTCTCGATAGTCACTCAACCTTTAGGTACCTTCCCTCCATTGGGGGCTCCTGAGGGACCCCAGAAGCAACTATCTGAGGCTAAGAATACTAATTGTGAACAGTGGATATTACACAATTAGATGTATTTTAAAAACACCCAGATACTTAGTGTCTCCTTAGTCCCTCTCCCAAAATTTAGTTCACACACTGTCAGATTACATATGAAGGAAAATATTACAAGTCTCCTTCAACTTGCATTGTATTTCACAAATTTTGATAAGTTGTATTTTTATTTTCATTTTTAAGTTTTTATTTTACTTTATGCTATTTTATTTGTTTATTTTTTATTAAGATATAAAGTATTATTTGCCCCAGGGGTACAGGTCTGTGAATCATTAGGCTTACACGTTTCACAGCACTCACCATAGCACATAACCTCCCCAATGTCCATAACCCAGCCACCCTATCCCTACACCCCCCCACCACCCAGCAACCCTCAGTTTGTTTCCTGAGATTAAGATTTTATTTATTTATTTTTCAGAGAGAGAGAGGGAAAGCACAAGCAGGGGAAGCGGCAGGCAGAGAGAGAAGCAGGCTCCCCACTGAGCAAGGAGCCCGATGGGGAGCTCAAGCCCAGGACCCTGGGATCATGACCTGAGCTGAAGGCAGACACTTAACTGACTGAGCCACCCAGGCATCCCTAAAGTTTGTATTTTAATAACCTGGTGCTCATCACCACAAGTGCACTCCTTAATCCCCATAGCCTGTTTCACCTAACCTGCCACTGACCTCCTCTCTGGTAAGCACCAATTTGTTCTCTAGAGTTAAGAGTCTGTTTCTTGGTTTGTCTCTCTCTCTCTCTTTTTCCCTTTGCTCATGTTTTGCTTCTTGAATTCCACATATGAGTGAAATCATATGGTATTTGTCTTTCTCTGACTGACTTATTTCACTTAACATTATATTCTCTAGTTCCATCCATGTCATTGCAAATTGCAAGATTTCATTCTTGTTTATGGCTGAATAATATTACATTTTATAAAATGTAGTATATAAAATATTAATATGATTATAATAAATATCACAATATTATAATCACATAATTATATTGATTCTGTTTTTGATGCCATATGTTAATATGTGATTTATTCATACACATTTATAATTATAAACATTATAAGTTATATTTACTTCTAACATCTTAAAATGTGTAACTCAAATAAAGGAAGCAGAGGCTAGTCTAGCTGAGACTTCAGAGGGCAACATGAAAGTTTATACCTTAGTTTTGAAGTAAATACAAGGGATTTAAAACCAATGCCAAAATGAATATAAGATTAAGATGTGAATTTTATGTGTTGTGATACTTTGATCTTAGTCTTAGACCCCCTCATTGAGTAGGCTAATGTCCTTTCTAGAAATAGTGAACAATTTCATTATCTCATAGCCAATTTTATATTCTTTTTATGATTATCATTATTGGCATTCTACTCCATATTTTCTGTTATTATAAAATGGTAATTCAAGATTTCTCTATAAAAGTCAAAAGGTAAGATTATATAATGAAGAGGCTGTGTTCCTCCTACCCCTGATGCCATTCTGTTCTTCTCAGAAGGAACCAATGATACTAGTTTCAACAAATTTTCCAGAGATATTTTATGTGTACATAGATAGGTATGATTGCACATAATAATTTTTTTACAGTGAACACATTATACACACCATTTTATTCCTTATTTCTTTGCTTTGTAATATAGTTTCAAGATTTCCTATATTTGTACAAATAGAGCTCTGCTGTCAATTTATTTATTGGCTACATAGTATTCCAGTGTTCATACTGGCCCATGTTCAATTTATATTACCAATTTATATAGATAGTTACTTAAACAATCAAATTAAGCAATCTTTCATTATTTAAAGTGATGCCTCAGTGGATTTTATAAATATTTACAATTTTGCACATATAAATTTCCTAAAAGTTTTTGTTTAAAGATTTTATTGATTTGACAGATAGAGATCACAAGTAGGCAGAGAGGCAGGCAGAGAGAGAGAGAGAGGAGGAAGGAGACTCCCTGCTGAGCAGAGAGCCCGATGTGGGGCTCGATCCCAGGACCCTGGGATCACGACCCGACCCAACCCAAAGGCAAAGAGGCTTTAACCCACTGAGCCACCCAGGTGCCCTAAATTTCCTGAAAGTTAACATGTTATATCAAACTGTACATGAGTTTATTCTATCTAATGTGGGCCAGGCATTAATATCCTCTTGTAGGCACTTTTTATATTTTTTAAAAGATTTTTATTTATTTATTTGACAGAGAGAGAGAGAGAGAGAGAGAGAGATCACAAGTCGGCAGGCAGAGAGAGGGGGAAGCATGCTCCCTGCTGAGCAGAGAGCCTGCTGTGGGGCTTGATCCCAGGACCTTGAGATCATGAACTGAACTGAAGGCAGAGGCTTAACCCACTGAGCCACCCAGGCACCCCAAGCACTTTTTTTTTTAAGATTTTATTTATTTGACAGAGAGAGATCACAAGTAGAGAGAGAGAGAGAGGAGGAAGCAGGCTCCCTGCCTAGCAGAGAGCCTAATGTGGGACTCAATCCCAGGACCCTGAGATCATGACCTGAGCTGAAGGCTGAGCCACCCAGGCAGCCCCCCAAGCACTTTTTATATTTAAAACTTTGATGAGTAGAAGTGAAAAACATGCATCAAAATTAGGTCACAATATATAGCCACATTCTTTAATTTCTTTAAAAGGAGAGCTAATTCTTTTTAAGTAATGAGGTCACACCATGCACAATATTATCTAACATTCTAACAGGAGAAGTAAATATTGAAACAATCTCATTGCCAAATTTCTCCAAGACTTGTGAAAACCAGGGAGTATCATTATTTTTAGTAGCTTCAACCCTAGATTTCAACTGCTTTATCTCTTCATTCATCTCTTCAGATTTCTTTCTAAATCCTTCATTGAGCAGATCACGTTGGACCTAAACAGAAAGTGAGAGGTAAAATTTTTAAATTACCATATTTTTTTCAAGAATTGTACTTCATATATAAAAATGTGGTCAAACTATCTTTGTTTTAATCCTAAAATTGTTTCTGCTGAATCTAGAATGGAGAATTTTGTATTGAGGAATATTTCCTGACTTGGACCTAAACATTGAGAAGAAACATAATTTAAAAACTTACTGAAATTCACACACCATTAAGGTTTTCCAGGATGCTAAGCCTGATATGAGGACAAAGGTAACATGTTTCCATCAGAAAAAAAAAAAAAAAACAAACAACAACAACAGTTGGAAGGTAGCCTTGGTTTGATCACACTCAGTCCCATCCCACTTGGGTTGGTATGGTCACCCAAAGAGTAGAAATGATGGGAACTTATAAGCTCTTTTAGAAATCTATCATAAACATGTCTTGAAAGATAATGAGAGAATTCCTCCCTATGCCATCTGATAACTTGAGTAAACCACCCACACCTGGAGACAATATAGCAAATTTAGAAGCTATCACTTCCCTATGTTTTTAAGTCTGTACATTTCTGATAGTTAAATGTCAGCATAGATCTATCTTACAGTCTTTGGGCAGCCATAGAGTTTCTGATAATTGTCAGTGATCTTGATAAAGCATACCACTTGCTGCTTGTATTAAATACATATGGATCTTCAGAATTTAAGAAACAAGGCAGAGGACCATAGGGGAAGAGAGGAAAAAATAAAACTATGAAACCAGAGAGGGAGACAAACCATAAGAGACTCTTAAACTTGGGGAAAAATTTGTTAATTAAAAAATAATACATATGGTTGGAATATCAATTTACTCAAGCCTCATGAAACCATTTTAAAATCCCCAAAATAGCAATTCAAATGATATCTATATTCTCCAAGAGCTTGGAGGTGCCATACGCATCCTCAACTCTCTAGAGTCTACATATTTAGAGTGGAATTCAAAGACTTTTTTAGAAAAGAAGGAGAAGGAGGAGGGGAAAGGGCAGGAAGAGGATGAGGAGGAGGAAGAGGAGAGGAGGGAGAGGCAGAAGGGTAGGGAAAGGGAGAAGAATTCAAAGGACTCAAGGTTTTAATAAGTCACAAGCATTTAATGGCAATGGTGCTTCCTTCTATGAGCTCCATACCTGTAACCTTCACCCATCCTTTCCTGAGGTACCAGAAGAAGGACCGCCAAGCATTACCAAGGCCATGGGCAGACTTACCTTCAGCTTATGCTCCAAAATCATATTCTGTTCTTTAATTAGGTTTTCTCTCTCCTTCTTCATCTTCTCTTCCAGTTGGACTATGTTTTCCTGGAGACTCCTCTGTTGCGCCTCCATCTGCTGTTGCTGCTCCAGTAGTTTCTGTTTTAGCATCTCCTGTTCTCTCTTAGCTGCCTCCTTGCTGAGCCGCTCCTCTGCCCCAAGGAAAGTTTAGAGAGGGAAGAAAATTAAGCAAGGATTGATATCTATCTTTCTAAGTTCAGAGACAAAACCAAATTGGAAGGGAAGGTGGAAAACCTCTGAATCATTCATGTCCCTCACTATCGGAACCACATTTCAGAGTATTTTGGGAAAGTCCCTGTCTAGCTGACATACAATCATAACTTTCCTTGTTTTTAGACTTAGCAGAGTTGTTCCAAGAAGAGGAAGCTCCTTGTTTTGCCCTCACACCTGCCCGAGGGCTATACCCAGCCCATTGTGAGCCAAGCCCTGCCCCATACCTGCTATGGCCTTCTCCCCATCAGTGAGGGCTTTATCTGCCTGCCAGATGGATTCCTCTATTGAAGCCTGTGACTGCAGAAAGCTCTGGAGGACCTCATTCGCCTGAGGAACCAAGAAGCAAAGACCTTAGAGTTCCACTTTGGAGATTAGTGCTGCAAAAACAAGTATGTCCATATAATTTTTGCTTCATGCTTAAAATTCTACAGTGGCTCCCTACAAGGTGTCCAAGCTCCTTAGTGTGACCAGAGACTCTCCATAGCTCCTGCTTCCTGTCTCCCTCCCTTCTTTCTACTTCCTTCTACCTACTCTAGGTTCCAGCCAGTCAGAAATATGTTCAGTTCTATAAATCTGCAGTCTCTGATTCTTTGATATATTTGGCTTCTCACTGGGAAATGTTGCCTCTAATTTGGACTGTTGCTCTCCTCTGTCATTTGCTGGCTTTAACTTTAGGCAAGTTATTTTAACCTGCCTGTGCCTCTCAGTTCAGATCTATAAAATGTTGACAATAAATATAGACATTTCTAATGTTGTTTGAAGGATTAAACTTAAGAGTCTAGGGAAACAGCTTTACATTATGCCTATAAGAAATAAGAGTCCAATATATATTAGTTGCATTATTATTTATTATTATGTTTGTACCTCAACCTATGTAGCCCATTTTTTCTTATTTATTTCTTTATTATTATACTTTTTTAAATTTCAGTATAGTTGATGCACAATGTTATGTTAGGTTGGGGTGTACAACATTGTGGTTCTAAAATTCTCACATTATGCTATGTTCACCACAAGTGTAGCCACCATCCAGCTCACTATATCACTATCACAATTTGTTGATTGTATTCCTTATGCTGTGCATTTCATTTTAATGACTTATTCATTCCATAACTGGAAGCCTGTATCTCTCACCACCCTTCACCCATTTTTTCCATTCTACCAACCCCCTCCCCTTGGCAACCACCTGTTTGTTCTCTGTGTTTATTGGTCTGATTCTTTTTGTTTGCTTATTCATTTGTGTGTGTATGTTTTAATATTCCACTTATGAGTGAAATCATATGGTATTTCTCTTTCTCAGTCTGACTTATTTCACTTAGCATAATATCCTTTAGGTCCATCTATGTTGTCTCAGATGGCATGATCACATCCTTTCTATGGCTGCATAACAGTGCACCATATGGAGACCATCATCACAGGTTGATATGTGTTATAATTTTGTATGCAGTTGTCTGTGTATTTGACTTCCCCTCTTACATTTGATCATACTTAAGTACAATGACTCTAACTTGTAAATTGTCAGCACTTGGCATAGTCAATGCTGTGTTGTTGGATGAAGAAATGAGTAATTTCTGTTCCATCTCTTGTGGATTTCAGAAATCCATACTCTTTTTTGGGAGAATAGGCATTTCCACTCTTCTCAGGAGTAAATAGCAAATAGTGGAACTCAGAAGCTAAAACTGTCATGACATCCCCATGCTGTTGTCACCCACAACAGGGGCTGTGCTCTCAGATTATTTGGAGACCCCTTAGACTCTATTATGTAGGCTCCCCATGCTCCCCTATTCCTCACCTTCACTCCTTTCCTGGGGACTTGTGAATATTTCCGTTCAATACTTTCTTTTGCTTCCCTGTAGAGCTTGTATCCCCCAGGAACAGAGAAAGTTCCTGCTGAAATACTTTCCATTAGGACCTGTGACATCTCATCAAGCCTGGACTGACAGTATTTAAGGGATGCCTCTTCATTCTGCTGCAAGAAATGCTCTTTCTTATCCTTTATGAGTTCCTACAAGGGAAAAGTAGAGAGATGTCACCTGAAGAAAGGAACAGAAACAATACCATTCCAAAGAATCTGGTAGAAGGATTGGTCTAACTCTGGTCCTCATGAGAAAAGTGTTCTTCTGGAGAAGGACATGGAATAAAACAGGAATCACAAGACTTGATTTACTCACAACCTTGAATGCTCTCTGCAAGACTCTGGGCAAGTTTCTTAAACTTCCTGGTTCTTCTGAAATGTTGAAGTTGTATTGCCTAATCTCTGGGGCTCCTTGCCACTGGAGCATTCAGTGATTTCATCGTCAATGAAACAGTGATACAACAAGGAGCAATATAAGTTGAAAATGACCTGGAATGAGGATCTGATAAGAGAAAATCTGCTTCGTGACAATGGAAGTATGTTCCAGAAAGCAACCATGCTTAGGAGTGACTTTTGGGTGTTGTGGGCAGGCTTGGAATTCATTGATGTATGTATTAAAAGATCAGGAGGATATCTATATTGATTTTACTTCAGAGATCAGAGAGATTACTAGATAATGTGCTTCAGTTTGGGGAGTAAAAAAACAAAGAAATGTAGTCCTTTGAAACTCTCTTTCACATAAGAATCCAGATTTCTTTATCCTTGAGTAAGAGATGAGCCATGGGTCAGTAAAAGCACTTCTAGGCTTCATTCTTCAAAAGGAAGGGTCCTGAAGAATAAATATTAAGACACATTACCACAAGAGTTTTCTGGAAATCCTGCTTGTCATCCTTGAAGGAATGCTTCATGAACACTGCAATGGCTTCCCTCTCACAGTCTGCATGCACATCCAGCAGCTCCTGGAGCGTGTCTGTGGGGAGTGTCAGTCGCTGGGACATCTGCTCACTGTAGTGGTTGGCTGCCTTCTGCACGGCCTCAGAGTTCTCAAGCTGGGCTAGAGTTGTCACTGCATTCTCCAAACAAGGCACTGCTCCAGTATTGATGGTATCCACATAGGTCACCACCAGAGTCTTCAGCCCTGAATGAACCAGGATATTGAAAGGATAAAGATCAAATTATTACCCCATAGGATTCCAGATTCTGAGACTACATTTCTGAAGTCAAGTGTACTCGTACCCACCACCCTCTTCACCCCACCCTCTGCCACACAGCCCTGCCTCCTTCTATCTTCATCTTTGTTTTCCTATTGACTCTAAATTTTTATGGTCTGCAGGTCACATGGTTAAAAAAATTAAAAATTTACCTTTAACATACTAAAAGGCATCTGGAAAACATAATTTCTGATTAAAAAATTAAAAGCAAAATAAATTATATATGTATACAGATGGGGAAGGATAAATCAGATTATATTTGTTCCAAATTCTGAAGCTCCCAATGGATTTTCACCAATTTATTGGATACTATTTATTTTTGTACTGCTCTAAACACCCAAAATGTTTTCTTATATATATTTTTTTACAAATAAAACTTATCAGATGGGACCTCTTTTGGGAAAAAGGGAATATATTCTGTTTTTATATCAAGTTAGTGATTTTTTTCTGATCAGTGGAGGATTTTTTTTTTTTTTTTCCAGATAAGTCAATGACACAGATATCAGCGACAAAGTGATATCAGTTTTGGAGAGGAATTTGTAAACTCCTGAAAGTGAGATAATTATAAAATAAACACATCTCTTTATGGAGTGAGAATGTGTGTATACCTGGAATTCCATATGAATCAAACAAAAATGCTGATATTAGGCCCCACAGAAATGGGAAAAGGATACTCACGATTTCCAGTGATTGTGACTCCCTCTCTGAGAGTCTTGGTCCTTGCCTGGGTGAGGATGTAAGAACAAAAATTGTTTGCTTGTGTCAGGAATTTAGGATCCAGTTGATGTTCAGATATATTCTCAATATTAGCTAGGAATTTTGTTTCATTTACTGGCCGATCAAGGACAAAACACTTCCGTTTTGGAAAGAAATGCCTGATGCACTCTCTGGGTAGATTGGATGCTTGGATTCTGGAGTTGTTGCCTGAGGGATAGGAACAACAGATTACCTTGGGAACAGTCTTGAGACAAGGGAGCTAATGGTTTTTATGACTGGGATTTTGATTCTTTTCTGTCTCCTGTGCTTGAAACACCTTTAACACAGACATTCAATACTTTCTTGAACAGCAAACTCATACCAATGGCAGCATTTTGGAAAGAAATTAGGGGAGACATCAGTCCAGGTAATTAAAACCTATGGCTTAGAACTCCAGATTTGAAAATGGTGGTAGAGTTGTTCATTAGATGTTTACTGAACGAATGACAAAAAAAAAAAAAAAATCAAGAGTCAAATGGAACTTCTTGGTCTAATGTAGAAACTGAGCTTCGGACCAAGTGCCACAATCAAGGGATAATGGAGCAGTTTTAGGAACAACAGTATTAAGCATATTCGAACACTCTGGTTATTGAAGGAAAACTTCTTTGATGCTAGAAATAATTTGCCCAATGTTAGCTATTTTATTTCACAAAAACCTCAGAAGAGTAAATGTAACTAAAATGTAATTCTAGGATGCCACCGCTACTCTGCAAACTCCTTGAAGTAAAGGACTAGATTTGATTTAATAGCATTGCTCTTCTGCCTATCCAGTTTCTCATTAAATGTTTTCAGAAACTCTAAGTAGAAAACTGAAAGCAAGAATGAGTAAATCAGAATTGATCTTTCTCTCAAGGTTTAATGAGATCTATACCATTGTAAATGTAACCCATTAAGATAATTTATTATTTCAAAATTATAACATGGACAAATATATGGGAATTAAGAGAAAACTATGATATATACAGTAAAATGAATGTTCTGATAATTATCAGAAATATTGAAAAGGTATAGATTAAAAAGGCATACTTCTTCAGGTTTATTTAGAACACACAGTCATTTTTGTATGCGAATATCTATGCAGGTATTAGAAAATTATATCCTTCTTTGAGAATATTAATATCTAACTGTAAAATATATTTTTATTGAAATATATTCTATATATAGTAATATGTTGATTTTCCATATAATTTCATGCCTAATGTGTTACAGTCAGTTGTTTTCTTCAACACAGAAGCCACAGTAAGGAACATGTATCTGGTCTTTGGAAAGTTGAAGCACCCAGTGAAATCTGGTAGCTACATTAGCCATTGTTTAAAGAACAGATCAGTTTTGAGTAATTTCATTCTGGCCTAGGCTCTGCTTTTCAACCAAGCTCAAGTCACCATTTCAACAGACTTCAATCTAGTTTTGAATACAAATGCCATCCCAAAGATAAGGGACTGTGTTCAGCAGCTACCACCCTCTATTGAACCACCCACTGCCCAGGCCATGTTCTAATACCTGGTAACAGCTTCAAGGCATTCTCCAGGTAATCATCTTCTGTGATAGGATGATCATTTAACTTCAGCTCCAGGGTAAAATCCCGTACAGCCCAGATAAAGTCTGGAAAGAAACTCACAAACTCGGTGGAATCTTGTACTCCATCCTTTTCTGGGGAGGACTTTGCCCTGATTAGTTCTGTGAGCTCTGTCACATAACTAGGACTCAAGTTAAGGAAAAGCAAGTTCCCACTCATCATTCCCACTTTCTTCTAACAAAAAATTATTATAAACTCTCTCCTTGGCCCTGGGTCCCCTCTGCTCCACCAAAGGCAGCTAAGTGACAGGGAAGGAGAAACTAACTAGAACTCTATTCCCATCAACATAATGAGATGGGTGGTTTGGTCCCTGGAAGGATACTGCAGCTGCTCCAGGGCCTGGTGGTTGATGGTGCCCATGCTGTTGTAGACAAAGGTGCTGCACAGAAGCACAGCCAGTGCAAAGATCCACGAGTCATTCTTAGGGTCACCCTAGAAAGCACATTGAACAAGAGTTTTAGGAGTTTAGTCTTTAGAAATTCATTCAGACACTTCTTCTATCAGTCTTCTATTACTTTAGCTAACATACTTGCCATGCAAAGAAATAAGTTTGAAGACAGACATATATACGGATATCAACTTTGACAATTACGAAGACATTTTTTGTGATATTGAGTCTTCCATATATAAAGAGATTTCAATACTGCAGAGGTTTCTTTTTCCTCAATTGGATGAAATAAAGTAACATATATAGAAAAACTAGTACAGTACCTGTGGTGCAATGGTGAGTGTTAGCATTTATTCATTCTATGTAGAGCTATATAAAATATACCAAAGTTGCTATAGCTGGGGATTCAAATTATATTAAATTAAATTCCACAAATATTTATAGGAAGCTACTGAATGTATCCCACTGCTTTTTTATTTAAGAAGCAAACTTGAAAATGGCAATAGTTACTTTCAAGGTGACTGTTTTAAAGTGGTGACAAACATCCATAACAATGAATGCAATAAAGATGACAATACCTATAAAGATATTAGTAATCTTATATTTTAGTAATGTCCATAAGCAGTGGAACCTATAGCTGTAATAGAAATGAAGATTTAGAATTTTATCAAGGAAGGCCGGAACTGTGGAACTTGGAGAAAGAGTATATGTTATGAAGGCTTACTGGAATTCTTGAGCTGAATGTTCAAGAACTGGTCAAATACAGACCTGAAGAAACACAGACTTCGTTCTCAGCATGTCTTATGTGCATGTTGTTTCTTAATACATGTGTATTAATGTATGTGTGTGTTTGTGGGTCTTTGATTCCACATATGAGTGAAATCATGAGGTATTTGTCTTTCTCAGTCTGACTTATTTCACTTAGCATAATACTCTCTAGGTCTCTCCATGCTGTTGGAAATGGCACAATCTCATCCTTTTTTATGTCTTTGTAATATTCCATTGTGTATTTATACCACATCTTCCTTATCCATTTGTCTACTAATGGACTCTTAGGTTGTTTCCATATCTTGGCTATTGTAAATAATGCTGCAGTAAACATAGGGGTGCATATACCTTTTTGGATTAGTGTTTTCCTCTTCTTTTGGTAAATAGTAGTGGAATTATTGGAACATATGGTATTTCTACTTTTAATTTCTTGAGAAACCTCCATACTGATTTCCACAAATTAAAAATTAATAGAAAAAGAAATAGAGAATTTCTAACTCCTCTTTTGGAATAAATGGAGAGCTACAGAAATTTAAATACCATTTCCAAGTAAGTCTCAATGTAAGGCACAAAAGGAGTAATCATTCATTTCACCCATTAGTAGCAAGTTAAAAAAAAATTCATCTGAAAATGTTTGTTATAGGGCAAACACATGCTTTCATTGCTGTTGTTGTTGTTCAAAGATTTATTTACCTATTTGGGAGAAAGAGAGCCAGGGTGGGGAGGAGAAGGAGAGAGTCTTGAAGTAGAGTAGACTCTGCCATGAGTGTGGCGCTGGGTGGGGCTGAATCTCACCACCCCAAGGTCACACCTAAGCCAAAACTGAGAGTCATTTAGTGTACCAACTGTGCCAGATCTGGTGCTCCCACTTGCTTTTATAGAACCAGCACATTCAGAGGTATCTCAAAGCCTTTCATAATGCTCTTTGGGTAGATGATGAACTTCACCATAAGAAACATAAACACAATCTCTTAACTCCACAGCTCTAATACACACTTCATCTGGAAGATAAATCAGAACTATTTCTTCTCCTAGGATGGAGTTGATGTTTCTCCTCTTTCCCACCAAGGCACCCTTATGCTTAACATGTGTGGTACAGACTATGGTGTGCTGCCCATATCACTTTGTAAAATTGAAGGACTGATTCCCCCAGCTAGTGGGAGTGCTAATGGAAGACAACTTAAAGGTGCCATTCTGTTAATTAGAAAGGCTTCCAGAGTAGCCTTTCCATGATTTATCCGCACCCTTGTCCCAACTCAGGATAAAGCGCATCCCAGCAAGAGAACTCCCATGGAAGTGACAGAAGTCAACAACTGCATTGTGATACAACTTTTTCTTCTCTCCAACTTGCTTCTTTCCCAGTCAAATTTTATTAAATCTGACTGCATATGTGTGGTCTTCTCAGCTGGACTGAAGATGCGTTGAGGGTAGGACCTTTATTGTGGTGACTGTCATCTAAAGTAGTAAGCCAGGAGACTTCAACTTAGCTATTCAATAATTATTTCTTAAATTTAATCAAATACTTCAGAGCCCCTTCGTGGTTCAGTCAGTTGAGCATCTGACTCTCGGTTTCAGCTCAGCTCATGATCTGCAGGTCATGAGATCAAGCCCTACATCAGGGTCTGTGCTCAGCAGGGAATCTACTTGAGATTCTCTCTCTCACTCAGCCCCTCCAATGACTCACAGTCTTAATCTATCTCACTATCTCTCAAATAAATAAATAAGTCTTTTAAAAATATTTATCAAATAATTCAAATGATTCAACCAGTATCAAGAAATAAAAGATTTTATCTAATATACTATATCTTACCTAGAAGTGAACTTCAAAGAAACCAGAATGCCTTATTTATTATAATTGGATTTCTAGAGTTTGCAAATAGATCACAGCAGTTAAACTACAAAAATATCATGAAGAAGTAAGGAGCAAATCTGGAATAAAAAGGGTTTACCTGTGACTGTCTCCTTACCTTTTCCACATCACCCAGGCCCTCGGTATCCAGAAGGACCAGGGTGTGGTTTGGCTTGCAGGGGTGAGGCACACACCATATCCAGATGCCCTTGGTTTTAGACTGCACTGTAGAGCCCAGAGGGAAACCTGCAAGGGGAGGGGAGAAGGCAACATACAGTGACAGGAGATTCATCCAAGCAACCAGAGGGTACAGACTTTCTGGAATGTAAATAAGTACCCTAGCATACAAGATGGCTCTTTCTCAAATTCCTTAAGCATGTCCCACTTTGTGTCTTCTGATTCAAGGAGGGCAGTGATGCCAGGCAAGTGCTCAAGATGGAGGCAAAGAGCCATTATTGAAGGAAAAATAAATTTGAAAAATGGAAATCATTGATAACCGTCAATGAGAATTTTGAGAGAATGTTGAGGCACAAAGTCAGAGAACAGTGAATTAAAGAGAAACATGGGAAAAGAAAAAGTAGAAAAAGGAAACTGAGATCATATTTTTTCCATAGTGATTAAAAAAAGGGGGAGGAAGGTTGTCAACTACAATAGGATGTGAAATCCAGGAAGGAATTTTAAGATGATAGATGTCCTGGGGTCCTTGAGCACAACGGTCAAGAAAGAATTCTTGAGATAATTCATAGTGCAACCTAGTAAGTTTATTCAAGTAGCATGGGGACAAGACCCATTGGCAAAAGAGCTACACTTTTTCTGTATGAAGCTGGTGGTTATATGCTTACAACTCAAGAGGAAGGGGATGTGCAGGGGTATTAGATCATAAATGTATCTTCAAATTCCTATTCATAAACTACTTTTGCAAGATTTCTCTGGTGCTTCTTATTCAGTTCAATAGCAGCTATTGGTGAAGTATACAGGTAGTCCTGAGACTCTTCAAGAATGTAGCAGCCAGCACATATTTGATCCTTATAGGAACTATGCAGGCTATAGGTCAACCTTCTGGGCTTAAGGTGAACATTTTTCTATTTCTATCCTTCAATAGGTATTCAAACATCTTTATATGTTGATGAGAATATCCCATAAAAAAGTAAATGTGTTCTAAGGGAGAAGAGATGCAATTATAAGAGCACAGTACTCGATCAGGTTAAAGAAGGTAGGATCCTGAGCATTAGCAGGGGAGATTTTCCTTAACAGTAGTAAAACAGCATGATAACAGATTACATTAAGAGTAATTTAGTGGTGAGAATTAGAATCAGAAGGTTGGTTGATTTTGAGGAGTTTGGTTCTCCTTTCTTGTGACCAGGGAAAAAAAACTAAAGGCGTAAGAGATACAGCTAGAAGTAACCAGTTGGCCCCAGGCTGAGTACAACACTCACCTCGGTTCTGTCCTGCAAGACGGTTCATCAAGTAGGATTTGCCAGTACGATACAGTCCTACAATGGCCACCACCACTACTGGTTGAGAAATCCTTTCAAGAATCTGTATAGCCGTCTGGTTCACTGACAGCTGCATATTGTTGTTTTCCACCAGACAAATGGGGGCCGTCATATGGGGTCCAGATGCCATGGCAACCTGCCAACCTAAAAAAGCCTCCTGGTAGAAATAAGATTAAAAAGTCATTCTCTGACTTGGAGTTATCCAAAGCACCCATCGGTTTAGGACTAGGTGAAACTTCTGTACTTTCTATGAGACAAAATGTAATCTAGAGTTAGCAGACTGCAGAGGGCTTCCCCTATTACTCCCCCAAATTGTGATGATATTAGTGATGAAACATAGAGTATTATTCTTCTTCAAAGTTTTGCTTCAATAGTAATAATAAAATTCAAGCAATTGTTACTGTCACCTACAATATACCAGGCCCTGTGAAACATACCTTACATACTCAGCCTCATTGATACTTATAAGACCCTACAAGTTAGAAATTATTGTACCTCTTGTACCCACTTTACAAAAAAGATAAATGAGTCTAACAAAAGCTGAATAAGACATAAAGCCAGGGTTAAGCCTAGACAACTGAGAAAAATGGCAAGCTAGGAAGTTCTAAGCTCTTATTTCCCTGAGGACATATAAAAAATAACCAAAATATTGGCTAGAATAATCTTACAGTAGTTCTGCAAAAAGAGTCAAATATCTAAAGCAACCAAGCAAACACCCAGTGAAGAAAAAGCCATATTAGAAATGGTAGGAAATTCTGTGGTATTTTTCCTTTCCTTGGCCCACGTACTCCCTGGTGTGGTATTAGTCTTGGTCTGGAGTAGGTGGTAAACCAGTTCCCACTTTTCTCCTTTGACCCAGAGGGAACAGAGCAGACCTTGTTCACAGTGTTCTGACCTATATGGAGTTTACCTCTTCAGGTCTCTGTTTTATCTCACACATGGAGCCCAGACAGGGGGAGGGGCCAGGAATATAGTGACATAACTTAGATATCAGATGGAAAGAAGCGCTGGCATTGTTTTTCATGGGTATTGCTCATGAACTGCAGACCATGGATCTGCAGATGCCTGGGGCAAGAAATTACCAGTGAAAATAGACGATCTTTGAAGCACCTGGGTGGCTCAGTCAGTTAAATGTCTGCCTTCATCTTGGATCATGATTACAGTGTCCTGTCATCAAGCCCTGTGTTCAGCTGCCTGCTCAACAGGGAGTCTGCTTCTCTCTCTCCCTCTGCACCTACCCCCACGCCTCAGTCATTCTCTGTCTCTCAAATAAATAAAAACAAAAAACAAAAACAGACCATCTTAGGCAGTAGTTCAGTTCCCACATGCCTCCTTTAGACTGGATGGAGCAGAGCAGACTGTTTATGAAGTTCTAATCTGTTCTGAGCTGCCTGAAGGACGGGTCTTTCAGATCTCAGATTCAGATCTCAGACAGGGAGAAGCAAGGGGCATTGCTTGGGAAAGCTGCAGGGAGACTGACTTGCAGACACCTCTGGCAAAATATTATGAGTGTGTGATTTTGTGATTTAATATAAGAAGTACATATTTGGTCTTTTTCTGGGCTCCTGATACATAGCTTCTAAAACACATTTAATTTCCCAAGTGATGAAGGTAATGGAAGTATCTTTTGTTTTAATATTTGTTTTTTGTCCTTGTTTCCTAAAATAGGTTCTAAAGTAGTTCCAGGATAAAGAAGGTGAATGAAACATAACACCTTTCAAACACATCCGAGTTTATGTTAATGAGGTGATTTTGGAAGATACCCAGGATGACCACAGAGTGAAGACTGGTTGCCAAGGGAACCAACCATGTGATTAGAGAGTTCAGCCTCATATCCCACCCCTGGGGCAGAGAGAAAAGCAGCAGGTTGAGTTAGTCACCAAAGGCCAATGATTTACTCAATCATGCCTATTTAATGAGGACTACATTAGAAACCTTAACTGAAGGAGTTTAAAGAGTTTCTGGGTTGGTGAACATGTGCATGTGCTCAAAGGGTGGTGTGCCCAGAGAAAGGATGAGAGGATGGAAGCTCCACACCCTTTTTTTGATACCTTGCCCTACACATCTCTTTTATCTGCTGTTCTGGGGTTATATCATCTTTTTTTCTTTCTTTCTTATAAACCAGTAGTCTAGTGAGTAAACTGTTTTTCATGAGTTCTGGAAGCTGTTCTAGCAAAGTACTGAATGTGGAGTACAGATGGAGAACATAGCCAGTCAGAAGCACAGGTGACAAGCTGGAATTGAGATTGGCACCTGAAGTGGGGCCAGTCTTGTGGGACTGTGCCCTTACCTTGTAGGGCATGCACTAACTTCAGACTGTTTGTGTCAGAATTACTTACTGCGGAAAATTGCCCATATATGTGGTGACCAGAAGTGAGGTATTGAGAACAGTGTTGCAAGAAATAAAATTTTTTCCCTTTTCAGGGTAGAGACAAACAATAGACCATCAAGGCCCCAAGGAGATTTTCAGAGGGTAATTAAGACATTTAAAAGCAGCACGTGTATGGGGAGATTGAAAAAGCCACACATAAGCTCAGGTAGGATGCGTGCTCAGAAAAGCCCTAAAAAGACTTTTAAAGTTTCTCTTTAGGTTAAGCCTAAGGCTCAAGACCAAGACCCAGCTAATGAGCAAAGACTTCCTTAGTACAAAAGCAGTATGCAAAGAATGGAAAAGGTGGCTGTTTCTATAAATGACCAGTTTTCAACAGAAACAGCAAAAATCACAAGACATGCAGAGAAATAAGAAAATGCAGCCCATTCAAAGGAAGTAAACAAATGTGGCAGGAAACATCCCTGAAGAAACACAAGCACTGCATGTTCTTGGCAAAGACCAAAGTAATTTTCTTAACTATGCTCAAAAAGCTAAAGGGAAACACAACTAAAGTAAATTGGGAAAACGATATATAAACAAAATTAGTCCAGTTGCAGTGTGTACTGGTGTAAAGATAGGCATATTGACCAATGGAATAGAACAGAAAGACCAGAAATAAACCCTCCTGTATATGGCCAAATGATTTTTGACAAGCCTGCTGAGATTTTCCCAATGGGGAAAGCACAGTGTTTTCAAGAAGCGGTGCTGGGGAAATTTGATATTCACATGCAACAGGATGAAGTTGGACCATTATTTTAACACCATTTATAAAATTTATCTCAAAACATACCAAAGATTTAAACAGAAGAGATGAAACTACAAAAATTCATAGAAGCAAACACAGGAGAAAACCTTCATGGTACTGGATTTGACAATGATATTTTTGGATAGGACACCAAAGGCGTGATCAAAATATGAAAAAATGGTAAATAGGACTTCATCAACATTAATAATTTTTGTGCATCAAAGAGCACCCTCAACAGAGTAACAAGGAAACTCACAGAATAAGAGAAGATAACTGATTTATCACATATCTGTTAAGGGATTAATATCCAGAATCTTTAAGAACTCTTCCAACTCAGTAATAACAACAAAAACAATGCAATTCAAAGAGGGGCAAAGTACTCAGACATTTCTCCCAAGAAGATATATGTTTATGCAATAGATACGTGAAAAGATGTTCAACATCACTAATCATTATGAGAATGCAAATCAAAACCACAGTGAGGTACAACTTCACACCCATTAGGATAGCTATTATTAAAAAAATGAAAACAAAAACAAACAGCGAACAACTAGCACTGACCAGGATGTAGAGAAATTGGAACCCTTGTTCATTGCTGGTAGGCATATAAAATGTTACAACCACTGTGGAAAACACTATGCTGGTTCCCCCCAGAGTCAATCATAGAACTACCATTTGATCCAGCAATTCCGTATCAGGGCATATGTAGAAAAACATTAAAAGCAGGGACTCCAAACTCAACACCCCAAAAACATAAAATCATGTCAAAAAATAGGCAGATGACATGATCAGACACTTCTCCAAAGAAGACACACAAATGGCTAGCAGACACACGAAAAAATGTTCATCATCATTAGCCACCAGGGAGATTCAAATCAAAACCACATTGAGATACCACATTATACCAGTTAGAATGGCAAAGATTAACAAGACAGGAAACGACAAATGTTGGAGAGGATGTGGAGAAAGGGGAATCCTCTTACACTGTTGGTGGGAATGCAAGTTGGTGCAGCCACTTTGGAAAACAGTGTGGAGATTCCTCAAAAAATTAAAAATAGAGCTACACTTTGACCCTGCAATTGCACTACTGGGTACTTGCCTCAAAGATACAGATGTAGTGAAAAGAAGGTCCATATGTACCCCAATGTTCACGCAGCAATGTCCACAATTGCCAAACTGTGAAAAGAGCCAACATGCCCTTGAACAGACAAATGAATAAAGAAGATGTGGTCCATATATATAATGGATTATTAGGATTATTGCTCAGCCATCAGGAAGAATGAATACCCAACTTTTGTATCAACATGGATGAGACTGGAGGAGATTATGCTGAGTGAAATAAATCAAGCAGAGAAAGTCAATTATCACATGGTTTTACTTGTGGAACATAAGGAATAACATAAGGACATTAGAAGGAAAGGAAAAGTGAAGGAAGGGAGGGGGAGATGAATCATGAGAGACTATGGATTCTGAGAAACAGAGGGTTTTAGAGGGGAGAGGATGGGGGGATGGGTCGGCCTGGTGGTGGATATTAAGGAGGGCACGTTTTGCATGGAGCCCTGGGTGTGGTACATAAACAATGAATCTTGGAACACTGAAAAAATAAAACTAAATTTAAAAAAATTAAAAATAAAAGGAGGGACTCAAACAGATTTTGTACAGCAGTATTCATAGCAGCAGTATTCATAGCAGCAGTATTCATAGTAGCCAAAAAGTGAAAATGTCCATCAAGGGATGGATGGATCAACCAAATGTGTCATAATCATACAATGGAATATTTTTCAGCTGTAAAAAAGAATGAAATTCTGATACATGTTACAGCATTGAGGAACATTGAAGACATTATTCTACAGTGAAATAAGCCAGACACAGAGGACAAATATTTCATGATTTCACTTATAAGAAGTACCTAAAATAGTCAACGGCATAGAGACAGAAAGTAGAATAGTGTTTACCATGGACAAAAGGCAGGGGAATAGGGAGTTACTGTTCAAAAGGTACTGAGTTTCCATTTGAGATGAAAAAAATCTCTGGGGACAGATAGTGGTAATAGTTGCACAACAGTGAGAATGTACTTAGTGTCACTGAACTATACTCTTAAAATGGTTAAAATGGTAAATTTTATATTACACATTTTTTATTACAATTTTTAAAGCATTTTTTTTAAAAAAACAACAACCGGATAATCCATTTCTCTGTCATATGCTACTGTAGCCACTTAGTGGGCAGAATATTCTTCCTCAAAGACATTGATTATCCTGTCAGTTCCTTTATCAGTAGATTAACCTACGTAGCTTTCTCGTCATAATCACATATCACATTGTGCTCTCTAGTATTAGAGAGCTGTGAACATGTGAACCCTGCGCTCGTCTTTGTCTGAAGGTTGACAAGTACTAGGAATGGGAGTGGTAAGTGGAATGAGGTCAGTCTAAAGAATGTAGCCTCCCTTTCAAGCAGGGAAGGCAGGATAACGTCCTGAATCTTAAGAGATACTACATGCTGAAGTACTTAGCTGAGATGGTCAATTTTTCTGCAAATTACTGCTATGAATGGAAACTATATATATTTATATATATAACTATATATGAGTGTGTGTGTGTGTGTATGTATGCAAATATCATTTTATATTATATAGGGAGACATACACATATATTTAGAGAGATAAAGCAAATCTAGCAAAATGTCACCAGTCGAGAAATCTAGGTGAATAGTATTTGAGATTTTCTTGTAAATGTTTTTTAAGTTAAATGTTAATATAAAAAATTAAGTACTTAAGGTAAAATTGTGGTCTCCTGACATATTTTTGATTGCATTATATTAAAATGGTTTTCTAATATTGTGGAGTTATATAACATTTTTGACATAAGAGACTCCATTTTGAAGCTCCATTTTCTTTTCCAAAGAATGAGCTCTTTAACTGGACCAGAGTGGTAACAGTTTTCAAGCAATTGCTCATAAAATATCAGCAGAGCAACTGACATGTGGATCATATGAGGTAAGTAAAGTTAATGCATACTAGGGACAACTTCATTTGATAACACCAGTAACATCATCAATAAGATGGTAATCAGAAGAGCTCCACCAGTCAGCATTAAATCAGTGTTTTTTCTCTTCTCTTCTTTATCTAAATAAGAAGATAAGAAGACCCTTCCTTCTTTCTCATAAAAACCCCATACTTTTCCCACACGAGCAGGACACTTTTCTGGTCACTTTAGAATCTAGCTCCCCAAATTACAATTCTGAGACCCCAATAAAGGCCTTTGCTCTTCTTCAATTTTACCTCCTTTTCTCGGTTGACAATATGTATTTTTCATAATCAGAATATGTAAACATGCTATTATATTCAAATGTCTCCAATATTCAGTTTTATATTTATATGTCACATATTCAAAAAGTGTCTAACACCAGCTCTATTATTTACTGCTCATGGCCCCTTAAACAAGGAGCCTTACCTAGCTAAACCTAAGATTTTAAAGATAATTATAGGGGTAATGTGGATAAAATTATAGGTCCAACCTGGAGGATATCTTGATAATTAAATTAGATACCATAAGCTTTTATCTTAGCATAGCATACAGCACAAAATAGGATTTCAGTGTATGTTTGTTGAATAAATGGAGATTTATCTACCAACAATTGCATTGAGCAATTTGGTCCATTGGGTTCTGCATTTCAACCCACTCCACAAACTATAGATTTCTAAGAAACAAGGTCTACAGATAAATTCTTTGTCAGACCAGAACAGTGAGCAAGTTCCGACACACTGCTCCTGCCCCACCTCCTTCTGTCTGATTCTTCAGTGTGGGGAGCAAATAATGTGCAGGTAAAACAGAAGCCTTGAACAGCTACGTTGTAATGCCTGAAAGTGCACGGTCCCCTCCTTACAGAGAAGATTAGAGGAAGCTGAGGGAGATGTGGCAGGAACAACTGAACAACTTTATGAAAACAGGTCTGCAGTTTTCTAGCTGTGAATGAGCCACAGAGCTTTTTACTTCAAATGAGCAAAGTGCAACCGTTCGATCCTGTTCAGGACGAGCTTTCAACATTTGAACTGCCTAAGAATCATCCAAAGAAATTGTTAAACCCAGATTCTATACATTTAACAACCGGTACAGGTGCCTCTGATGCTCCTACGAAAAAACCAACAAACACCAGAGTGGGGCAAGGAGACAGAGACAGACAGACTGACAACATAGTTATTTTTAACTAATAAAGATCAGCAATGTGGGAACTAAATTTATTTCTACATGGAGATTTACAGAGCTCTCAATCTGAAGCTTTCTTAAGTTTGACTAATAGAAAGATCAGAAAGAAACTATCTCTTTAGATTATCATTTCCTGTAAGCTCCTTGATGGACACTGTCTTGTTCTATGAATTCTAATGCCTGCTACAGAGCCTGGTAAGAGTAAATTAGGGAGGCTCTCATGGGGACTCCTTCCACTCTAGTTTCTGCTGTCCTGAGCTGACACTGTTCCCGAAGCAGCATATCCAGGGAGACATGGTGTGCTTGGCTGTTTCTTTGCATCTGGTACTGTTTCAAATGGCAGAGCTGAGCTTCCCTAAAACTAAAGACAGCCAATACCCTCATGGGTCAGACAAAAGGCAACCTGCCCCTCTTGCCATTCCTCAGTTGTCACTTTCAATCAGAGATCAAGTCGAGTTCAAGACCATGTTGCATATAAAAGAAGATGCACTTACCTACTATGTAGCACAGCAGGTTCGAGAACAGTCTCAGCTGCTCACTGCTCGCTCACTTGCTCCTTCTACCTTCTAACTTCCTCGTATAAAAGCTTAAAAAAAAAACCAAGGAAGTTAGAAATTTCTACCATCTAAATCATTTGTTAAAACTGAAATTGAAAGTAGAAGTAATTCAGGCAACATGAATCACCAGACTAGACCGTACCTGTGGATGTTCAGTTCAGGATGAGATGAAATGAGGGAAAGCCCACAGTTACTCAATAGTCAGATCTTAGTAAACACACTCTCACAGCTTTCTTTTGTCTTCCCCATCTTTGAGGGGTTGCTGTCCTCTCTTCTTCATATGTCTCTCTCAGTTGGCTTAAGTTTCCTTAGCACACAGGAAACATAGAAAATTCTTGGCACAAACATAAGGAAAGTTGTATAAAGCAAGATTTATTTAAACTATTTTTCTTCTAGTGGGAATTCCTGAGTTCATTTGTCAGTGGAGAGCTTTAGATTTTAAATATGGTCCCTATTATATAGTGCCAATGAAAACTGAATGAGCTTTTTAGAACTTTTTTTCTTGACTAAGGTATGTTTACTTTTACTTAATTTTTTAAATTTTAATTCCAATGTAGTAAACATACAGTGTTATATTAGTGTCAGGTGTACAATATAGTGATTCAGCAATTCCGTATATTACTTAGTGCTCATCAAGATAAGGGTACTCTTAATCCCCTTCACCTATTTCACCCAATCCCCACCCACCTCCCCTCTGCTAACCATTAGTTTTTCCTCTATAGTTAAGAGTCTGTTTTTGGTTTGTCTCTTTTTTCCCCCTTTATTTGTTTTATTTCCACCTATGTGTGAAATCATATGGTATTTCTCATTCTCTGGCTTATTTTACTTAGCATTATACTCTCAAGATGCATACGTGTTATTGCCAATGGCAGTATTTCATTCTTTTTATGGCTGAATAATATTCCATTATAAATATACTGCCTCTTCTTTACCCATTCATCTATTGTTGGACATTTGGTCTGCTTCCATAATTTAGCTATGTAAATAATACTGCAACAAACAAACATAGGGATGCATGTATCCTTTTTAATCATTGTTCTTGTGTTCTTTGGGTAATACACAGTAGTGCAATTACTGGATCATATGGAAATTCCATATTTTAACTTTTCAGGGAATATCCATACTTTCTTACACAGTGGCTGCACCAGTTTGCATTTCCATCAACACACACAAGCTTTCCTTTTTCTCCATATCCTCACCAACATTTCTTTCTTGTGTTTTTTATTTTAGCCGTTCTGACAGATGTGAGGCGATATCTCATTGTGGTTTTGATTCGCATTTCCCTGATGATGAGTGATGTTGAGCCTCTTTTCATGTGTCTGTTGGCCATCTGTGTGTGGTCTTTGGGGAAATGTATATTCGCGTCTTCTGCCCAGTTTTTAATTGAACTTTTTTTTTTTTTTTGATGTTGAGTTGTATAAGTTCTTCATATGTTTTGGATGCTAACCTTTATTCGATATATCATTTGCAAATATTCTCTTCCATTCAGTAGGTTGTCTTTTAGTTTTCTTGGTTATTTCTTTTACTGTGCAGAAGCTTTTTATTTTGAGGTAGTCCCAATAGTGTCTTTTTGCTTTTGTATCCCTTGCATTAAGAGAGACATCTAGAAACATGTTGCTACAGCTTGTGTCAGAGAAATTACTGCCTGTGCTCTCTTCTTCGATTTTTATAGTTTCAGGTCTCATATTTAGGTCCTTAATCCATTTTGAGTTTATTTTTGTGTAGGATATAAGAAAGTGGCCCAGTTTCTTTCTTTTGCATGTTGCTCTCCAGTTTTCCTAGCACTGTTAGTTGAAGAGACTGTCTTTTTCCTATTCTACATTCTTGCCTCCTTTGTTGGAGCTAATTGAGTATATAATAATGGGTTTATTTCTGGACTCCCTATTCTGTTCTGTTGATCATCAATTTTTGTACCAGTACCATACTGTTTTGATTACTACAGCTTTGTAATATAATTTCAAGTCCAGAATTTCGATAGTCCAGAATTGTGAAGTCCAGCTTTGTTTTTCTTTTTCAAGATTGCTTTGGCTATATAGGGTCTTTTGTAGTTCCATACAAATTTTAGGATTGTTTGTTTTAGTTCTGTGAAAAATACTGTTGCTATTTTGTTAGGAATAACATTAAATGTGTAGATTGCTTTAAGTAGCATTGACATTTTAACAATATTTTATTTTTTCAATCCATGGACATTTAATGTCTTCCCATTTATTAGTGTTGTCTTCAGTTTCTTTCATGGATGTCTTATAGTTTTCAGAGTACAGATCTTTTACCTCCTTGGCTAAGTTTGTCCCTCAGTGTTTTTTCTTTCTGGTGCAATTGTAAATGTGATTATTTCTTAATTTCTCTTTTTGCTGCTTCATCATTGGTGTATAGAAATGCAACATATTGGGCCACCTGGGTGGCTCAGTGGGTTAAGCCTCTGCCTTCAGCTCAAGTCATGATCTCAGGGTCCTGGGATAGAGCCCTGCATCGGGCTCTCTGCTCAGCAGGGAGCCTCCTTCCCTCTCTCTCTGCCTGCCTCTCTGCCTACTGGTGATCTCTCTGTCAAATAAATAAATAAAATCTTTAAAAAAAAAAAGAAATGCAACATATTTTTGGAAATTGGTTTTGTATCCTGCAATATTACTGAATTCATTTATCAGTTCTAGTAGTATTTTGAGTTTTGAGTTTTCTATGTATAAGATCATGTCAAAAAGTGAAAGTTTTGCTTCTTCCTTACCAATTTGGATGCCTTTTATTCCTTTCTTTTGTCAGATTGCTGTGACTAGGACTTCCAGTATTATGTTACATAGGAACGATGAACGTGGAAATCCTTGTCTTGATCCTGTCCTTAGGGAAAAGGCTCTCAGTTTTTCACCGTTGAGGGTGATGTTAGCTGTGGGCTTTTCATACACAGCCTTCATTATGTTGAGGTATGTTTCCTCTAAGCCTGCTTTGTTGAGGATTTTTATCACGAATAGATGTTGTACTTTGTCAAATGCTTTTTCTACGTGTACTGAAATGATGCTATGGTTCTTATCCTTTCTCTTACTAATGTGATGTATCACCCTGATTGATTTGTAAATGTTTTTTTTAAAGATTTTTATTTATTTATTTGAGAGACAGACAGTGAGAGAGAGCATGAGAGAGGAGAAGGTCAGAGGGAGAAGCAGACTCCCCACGGAGCCGGGAGCCCGATGTGGGGCTCGATCCTGGGACTCCGGGATCATGACCTGAGCCAAAGGCAGTCGTCCAACCAACTGAGCCACCCAGGCGTCCCTTGATTTGTAAATATTAAAGTACCCTTAAAACCCAGGAATAAATCCCACTTGATCATGGTGAAAGATTTTTTAATAAGGTATTGTTGGATTTGGTTTGGTAATATTGTTCCATCTATGTTCATCAGATATTGGCCTATAATTATCTTTTTTTGTGGTGTCTTTATCTGGATTTGGTGTCAGGGTAATGCTGGCCTTACAGAATGGTTTGGGAAGTATTCCTTCCTCTTCTATTTTTTTTCAGTTGTTGTAGAAGAACTGGTATTGACTCTTCTTTAAAGGTTTGGTAAAATTAATCTGTGAAGCCGTCTGGTCTTGTACTTCTGTTTTTTGGAACTTTTTTGATGTTTTGGGGAGTTTTTTGATTACTGACTGAATTTCATTGCTGATAATTGGTCTGTGTAAATTTTCTATTTCTTCCTAATTCAGTTGTGGGACATTATATGTTTCTAGGAATTTATCCATTTATTCTATATTGTCTAATTTTTTGCATATAATTTTTCATCATAATCTGTCACAGTTGTTTGTGTTTCTGTAGTTTCAGTTGTTGTTTGTCCTCTTATTTCATATTCTGTTTATTTGAGTCCTTTGTTTAATGAGTCTAGCTAAAGGTTTATTAATTTTGTTGATCTTTTCAAAGAACCAGCTCCTAGTTTCATTGATCTAGTCTGTTGAGTTTTTAGTCTTTATTTTGTTTATTTTTGCTCTAATCTTTATTGTTTCCTTCCTTCTACTTGTTTTGGGTTTGTCTGTTGCTTTTTTTTTTTTTTTAATCTCCTGTAGGTGTAAGATTAGGTGGTTTGAGATTTCTCTTGCTTCTTGAGAAAGGCCTGTATTACTATAAATGTGTCCCTTAAAGCCACTTTTATTGCATCCCAAAAAAGCATTATGTTTTCATTTTCATTTGTCTCCATGTGTTTTTTATTTCCTCTTTGATTTCTTGGTTTAGTAGGATGTTATTTAACCTCTATGTATTTGTACTCTCTCCAGATTTTTTCTTGTGATTTAAATTTCTTAATTAATTTAATTAATTTAATTTCTTAGTGTTGTGTCAGAAAAGATGCATGGTCTGACTTCGATATTTTTGAGTCTGTTGAGATTTATTTTATTGCCTATTATGTGATCTATTTTGGAGAATGTTCTGTGTGCATTTGAAAAGAATGCATATTCTGCTATTTTAGGATGGAATATTCTAAATATACCTGTTAAATCCATCTGATCAAAAATGTCATTTAAACTTACTGTTTCCTTGTTGATTTTCTGTCTGGATGATCTGTCCATTGACGTAAGTGTGGTGGTAAAGTCCCCTACTCATGTTATATTCCTATTAATTAATTTCTTTGTTTCTTATTAACTGCTTTACATATTTAGATGCTCTCATGTTGGGTGGATAAATACTTTTAAAGTTGTTACATCACCTTGTTGGACTGTCCCTTTTATGATTGTATATGTTCTTCTTTGTCTCTTGTTATAGTCTTTGTTTTCAAGGCTATTTTTTTCTGATACAAGTATTGCTACCTCAGCTTTCTTTTCATTTCCATTTGCGTAATAAGCATTTCTCCATCCCCTCACTTTCGATCTGTATAGGTCTTTAGGTCTGAAAAAGAGTTTCTTGGTAGCTTTAGGTTGGTCTTGGGATTTTTTGTTTTGTTTTGTTTTGTTTTTCATATACATCCCATCACCCTATGTCTTTTGACTGGAGACTTTAGTTGGTCTACATTCAAAGTAACTTTAAAAAAAGTTTCAGAATTCATTGTT